TGTGCCGTGGTTTCCCCTTCTCTTTTTCCTTAGCCAGAAGCTTGAATAGCCTGTTAACATCTGCAGATCGGCTGGAGGCCACAAAAATCGACCTTCCTTTATGTTCAACTAAAAGAGTGTTGTGGAAAATACGGCAGTGAATGGGGAACAGTGAGAGGCCAGTGCGAAGCAGCTGATTTTCCCCCTCTCTCCCGCTCTGTCTCTCTTATTCTCCGAACTCCCCCACCCCATGCCCCCACTCCTTTCGTGAAAGGAGCTATTGTCTCTGGCCTGGATTGAAAAACTCACACAGTACTTTTCCTTTGAGGACTTAAAAAACTTGCGTAAATGAAAAGCGGTTCATGTCCAGTGCGTACCGTACGCGTGCAGACTTTTCTGTCCCCACACATGCTTCTTCACACACCTGTTTGAACCAAAAACACAAACACAACACATCCTCATCCACGTGGGTCATATAAGGCCGCTGACAGATGAACATGCAGTGTGTGCGTCTGTGTCTGACAGCTCTAGTCTGCTGAGAAATCTCAGATTCCAGGCCCTCTTAGTCTGCTGGCCGCCGAGCAAAGCTCCGCCTCTCTTTACCTCCACTGCCCCCCTTCTCTTGTCACCCAGAGCCTGACACATGCAGACCAGCTCTGATCGCTGCTCATCACACTGTGTGGAGGCCTGTCACAACAGTCCGTTATGCTGCTTGCGATAACTTAGTTTGGAGAAATCCCTGATCTCTGGATGGGACATGTAAACATGGGACCTGTAGCTAAACTTTTACGGGCCTTGAAGGAGTTTTGAGGTCAGAGTGGGGGGGTTAAACTCTCCGGGCTGGACTAAAGCAACCTGCAGCCATGGCTGGACTACAAGACCGACCCAAAGCGGCCACTCTGCCGTCCCGTTCCTGCAGCAGCGTCCCAGGGACCGGTCGATTGCAGAGGCGCATGGCCTTGTGCAGGATGGAGGACTGCACCTTTGACAGCTTTGAGCTGCTTTACAGTGGAGCTGTCGATAATTTCAAAAGCCATAAAAGTAATCTCAACCTCAGTAAGTTTGCCATCTTTGGAATATAAGCCGGACGTGACTAACACGAGCCGGCCTGTTTTAAAAGTGTTCTGAGGTCTGTAAGGTGCTCTAAACTTTACTTTTTAAATTGCTGAATCCATGGAGGTATTTAAAGGTTACGTGCAAGTGTGAAAGATTTGATTTTACCTCAGTTTATCAAAGAAGGTTTAACCAGATGAGGTACGTTTTTGTCACATTTGCAAGTTGGGAACCAGGACTCATCTGTCCAGCTAAATATAGCATCTCTACCTCAGTATTGGATCAGGACCATAAAAAATTCATTGTATAGGTTTGGGCCCTACTAGCTCTAATAATGGTGTGACGAGATAAGAAGGAAAAATTAAATGTATGCTTTGATTTTGGAAATTTCTGTATAGTGGTTATTATTGTCACAAATCCTCATCAGCATTCAGGAATGCAAACATTTAGTTTTATTTTGGCTTTTTGACTCCAATTATCAAAAAAGAAACTGCTATGTGTCTGCGTAACACAAATCTGGATACAGGGCACAGAAGTCCCGCCCACCTTTTGTTTAAGAGGGGCAGCCAATTGGAAGAAGCCGGCCTGAAGCGAGAGTAGACTTAAAGTAAGAGGGGATTGAAGTGCTGCATTAGGGCCCAATATGAAATGGTTAAGAATTACTTTGAAGTGTGAGTCATGCAGCGCTACTCCAGTACAATTAAAAATATGCATAACGATTCCTTTTAACCTGGTGCAAATAAAACACCGTTAAGCAGTGCAGAACCTCCATCATTTCCATAATCTGCCCTCAGCATCCAAACCTTCCTCATAAAATAATGTATCATGTGTAAAGCTCATAGTGATGTTTTTGTAGCTTTTCTTTTTCCCCTGCAGATATTATGGTTTCATTCAAAGTCTGCAAAGAACAGAAGGTCAGCACGATTAAAAGTGACATCTCTTGGCATGGCATTTAGCTAATCCCCTGTCTGTGTAAACATAAATGGTCTAGTTACTAGCTTTCGTAATGGCTGAAGAGACCCTGTGATGTGGCAACCCAGGATGAAGATTTATATATAGAAGTCAGCAATCCAATTTTAGGTGCAGAACAGGCATGTTGACAGTATTATTAATATGCTATCTGATGTAGAGAGCCTCTGTGGAACAGAAAAAAACAGATTGTACTCTATCCTTCCTCGTCCGACACACATAGCGTACTGTGCCGAGCTGTGCTGTATCACACACTTGTGGCCCCACTT